TCTATGTTCTATGTTTAGTAGCAAGGACGCTACTAAGGGCGCTCCTGGCCTTACTACTAGGAACAAGAAGCTATTGGGGAAGGGCAAGTTCATGCGGAAAGTCACCTCTCCGAGTTGCATATCCCAGCTCTCCTTGCTCTTTTCAAAGCCACAAAGCTCCAGGGTGAAAACCACCTGATGTCGGAACCATGCAAAGGCATGGTTGGTTCTTTGGGTCCATCAAGAAAACTCCCACGAATGTGACATGCGGTACCCAAACACAAGGTTCTATGCATCACAAGCCCTCCCTTGGCAGCTTTACAGACTAGATGCCACGTGGACACTGCCTGCATGGATCAATGCCTGGCTTCTCTTTCACAGACAATAAAAGTCTGTATCACTACTCAGGACCTACGGGCCCCGTCTTCCCATGTTTCAGTCCCTCATCGTCCCTCTCACCACTCCGTAGAAGATCGTAGAAGCGACCGAGCTCGAGCAGCTCGGCCCCGGCAGCGGCTACGCCTTCGTGTCGATGGCCACGCCCAGCTGCGGCTCCTCACAGCCCCCACTCAGCACGAGGGCCGCACGCTCCGCGCGCCGCATCTCCAGCACCGCACCTCAGGTGCTGCGGCGAAACGTGGTGCTCCAGGGTCTCAAGGGAAGCATGATGAAGGAAGGTCAGTGGTATGTTCAGGTGCCGTGGATAATATCGGCTCAAAGATTGCACAATACTTTACAGCACGTCCAGGTAGGTAAAGTTGATCTGAATAACCGTTCCCAATTATTGATTGGTATTGACATTGGACATTGCTTTGTTCCCTGGTCTGGAAGGCACAAGGCACAGAACTGAATGACCAACACCAACACCTAGCATAGATATCAAACTACTACAGTGTTTCCTATCTCGGAATGGTGAGGACAGCGCAAAAGCATACGAAAGTTGACTTGAGTTTACGAGGCTTTTGACCCAAGCCGCATGCCCAAGTGGACCCCCCTGAGGACTAGAATTGGAGGCCTGGGAACAGGAACCCCCACGAATGCCCCAAACAAATCAACAAGCCAGTGGTTGTGAAGCAAGCCGGAGCATGAACAGTCAAAATTCTAAACTCCTTCAATCTCTAGAAGCTTGGTAGCACTTCCTAAAACCGATTCGCACGAGATGCAAGAACTATAAACACCAGCAACCGTGCACCATGCGGCTGCTGATGCCCACGGCACATTCCAGCGCGTCACAGACAAACCCATCACCGGCCACAAACTCGAGCGTCTTGGGCACAAAGCCAGGCAAAGGCTTTGAGCCGTCAGTCGCCCCCTCAACCTTCACAAATACCTGGAGGTTGCGGAGATAAAGGCACATCCACACCAGAAATTATCGAACACAGGGCAAACACCCAATCACTGAAAGACTTAAATATAGAAACATCGTACCTCAAATTGTGCTTCGCTTCAGTTCGTGCTTCGTTTCAGTTCTAGTTTCGTGGGGCTCTCAAGTGGCTGAAATTCTAGGAGACTATATCAACATCCGCACCTTTGAGCATTCTTTGGGCTTCTCGTAGCCCTCGCCCTCCTTAATCTGCTTCTTCAGCATTGACTTGTCCTTGGCGAGGGAAATGTCAATCGTCTCATACAGCTGCTCCAAAGCCAAGTGCAGAATCACATCCCCATGCAGCTCTCCATAGGCATAGTCTTTCCGACAGGTCAACTTGCATTCTTCGCCCTTCTTCATTGTTGTGAGGCCTTTCTCCACTGCTGTCTTCAGAGGTCCCAAAGATTTTGAGCCCATTTGGTACTCAAAGGAATTCTTCTCCTCGATGATGCTCCCATCTTCCAGCTTGCAGCACTTCAGCGACATTTGCAGCTCACTGTGACCTTTAGGCTCCTTCCATCCACTGCCCTCCTTGACCAAGACTTTGATAACACCTTTTCGCAAGCAAACAGGTCACGAACCTTTTGTTTTCTGTTCGAAGAAGGCAAGCAACACTCAAACTGCAGTAGGCATACAAAATATGTTTTTGTGAACATTTATGGAGGGCACCTCAATTGGAGGGGTGCCTTAACTCAACATACAAAACACATCAAAGCAGCACCGCTTGCAGTGCTTGCGACATCTTCTAACCCAACCTCACAGGTTTGGTGCTGTCTGATGTAAATATAGGAGCTCCCTCGATTCGGTGGGCCCACCTCCATCAGAGAACAAGTCGTCCTTGGAGGTGAAGTTGATCAATTCAATCTCAAAGATCAGAGTTGCCTCTTGAGGTATTTTGGGCGGTGAACCCTCCTCACCATAGGCGTACTTCGGCGCAAACGTGAACTTTGACACCTCGCCCTTGCACATGGATGCAACGCCTACATCCCAGCCTTGAATCACTTCACCTTTCCCTAAAGTGAAGGTAAAGGGCTGTTCCCGTGCTCTGGAAGAATCAAAGATTGATCCATCAGTCAGCGTCCCGACATAGTGTACAGTCACTTCATCTCCAACTTTGGGTGATTTGAAGTCTGCATCTGCACCCGACTGGATGATCTCTTTCTCAATCCCTTCGGGGAGACCCTTCCCCTTCGCGGCATCCTCATCTGCCATGGCTCCACTCCCCAGGCGGAAGGTGAGCACAAACCAAACCCTGGCTGACCTCAGAAGTGAGACTTTTTGCACCTGGGCATCTGGATGGCACATGATTGCTGCACAAGCGGCTACAGCTAAACCATGCTAAACCCAAGAGTGGCTTCAGTGTTTCTTTCTCCGCAGTTCCTGAGCTTGAACACCATCAGCAATAAAACCACCCAACACTGTACCAAGAGAGACGGTCTGGTCGGCCTGACTCGTGTTCCACCGGCCATTCATCAAACCCCTCCATTTGGATTCTAAAACCTCCAGAACTTACCGGGGGAGGTTGGATTCATCGGTCCACATGACCGACGACATCGCGACCCGCGCCTGAGACTCTCAAGGCTGAGTGTGCCGTTCCAAGCACGGCTGCGTCCCTGCGGCCGGTGTCTCTGACCCGTTCCTTTCCCCGGTGTCTCATGTTATTTTTCTGATACTCCCCTCCCACAAAAGCTCGACCACGCATTGAAGTCATGCCCATTTCAGAGACGCCCCCAAACTCCGACTTTTGTGGGTCATCAAGGGTCCTTCTGTCACACCGAAAACCAGCGAAGACTTGGCTTCCCCACGTCCTACAAGTACGATCAAGTACCAGTTGTGGTGCCTTTGGAACAACTCCACCCTTGGAGGGCTTCATGCTTGTCTGGCTCTGGGAGCTACGCCAGCATATCCTTTGATTCCTTTTGATCTTTTGCCGATCTTTAGGTGGGGTGTGTTCCACAAGTGGAGCTCAGCTTCAGCTCCTGTGCGTCCGGGAGAATCCACTTTCGCCGGTGTCGACCTTGGCAGCGGCGGTCTGGCCCAGTTGGATGAGGCAGTTGGATCTGACGACCAGTTCCTGGCAGATGGACGAGCCCCTCAGATCCCCGGCATCCGCGAGGAACCTTTCGGGACCATGAAGGGGAAAAAGCCCCGGCACAGCTTCGTGAGCCGAAGAATGATGTGTCTCGAGCACCTCGTTTGCAGCTGGCACAGCCGTGCTGGCAGAGTTGTTGATTAGGGACAAGATTGGGGAAGAGTCCACCTCAAAAACTGACGGTCGTTTCCACAGAATTGCAGCAGTTTCTTGCATCCGTGTGGTGGTTCTGACTGAAGTTACCCTCAACATATCAGCCTTGCCATGCTGTGCCCACTCCACCCGAGTATATAATTCCTTTCCATTCCGAGCCTTAAACATGCGCTCCCGCGCGTTCTCGCCCTCGGAGCCGGAGCCTTAAGACATCGATCTCGACCCGCACGACGGACCCACACGACGGCAGTGGCAGTGGCGGTGGAGGTTCAAAGAATAAATAGAGAAGAAATGAACCCTCGGGGCGCAAACCCACCAAACACCCATCAATGGTCTTCCCTACACCCTCCCAAAAAACCTTGCTGGACACATTGAGATGATGAATGTTTGCGGTACTTTTATCAGCAGCATCAGCTTATAAGACCTATAAGTATCAGCCAGGCACCAAAGCAAAGATCACCAAATGCATTTGGCCGATAACCTTCTCAGCCATGTGTCACAAGGCCATTTGTCGAGTCTATTTGCGACTCAGCGACTCAGTGGCAATAGCTGTTGCAAGGCCGCTATATCCACCTGCCATTCAATAATATGCCCACATGGACATGCGCAACGTGGCCCAGCAGCTCGGTCAACGTAACGAAACCGCCTTGAAGGACCCTGCCATCACGTCACAGCCTGTTGAGCAACAAGAGCTGGGCCAATGGATGTGAGGGAACCTATCAATTGGATCTTAACTGATCGGCAGTGAGAACCCCAAATCATTTGTCAAAAATGGCATAAACTGGAACACCCATGAAAAGAAACGGAATTTTTTTCACTAAATCTTGATGAGTGGCAACTGAATTGGCTCAAACACCCCAGTGTCCCTGGCCTCAAATGGCTCAAGGATGCCTTTGTCCCTCTGGCCGCTGGGAGAACGAAGGCGTCTATGCTATAATCGCGTGATCTGCTAGTTCGATGTGTGTTTTCATGCTGCGAAGGATATGTAATCTCTGAGATGCCAACTCGCTGCAAGATGCGAGTTTTGAACAAGGCGATTCGGTCCCCTTGCTGCGAGAGAGTCATGTGAGCCCAAACACATGCAAAGGTCAGGTCTTCGATTCGTGTGCTTCACATGGTTCTCGCGGGGTGACTCAGCTCTCAAGCCCTCCTGAAGCTGCTTTTGGGCAATTTTTCCTCCTGCTGCACTGCCTGCTGAGCATAGCATAACCTCTGTCACCCTGTCTGGAAGGTTCTGATTCCTATGGCTTGTACTTACGAGACCTTACAAGAACCATACTACACAGAAGAATGATGTAGAATGTGTACTATAGAATGTGTAACATGCCGTACCATTTGGAGGTCATCGCCTCATGTACCCCTAGGTCGGGTCCAGGCTCCCACATGCCGACCTGCTCGGAAGGGGAGCGCCTGAGAGATGGTCCCTCGGAAGCCGGGCAAGGCCTCCTGCTCCGCGGTGCCGGAACCAGGGACCCACCTGGGAAGAAGACCAAACCGCCCGGAGATGAACATAGATGAACTGCGGTCGGATGTGGAGACCTCTCCAAGCCGGTTTGAAGTGCAGTTCCCCCACCAGCAGGTCCGGGTTCATCCGCGGATGTGGGAGGAGAACGGGCCTGTTGGAGCTCCAAAAACTCCTTAGTGTGGAGCGCGCACTTGCCTTCAACGCGCCAACACAACCCCTGACTAGTGGGTGTTGGTTGGTGGTTATGTACGTGAATACAGACTGAATGGTCACAATCCCCATGCGCTAAACATCACTAAACCATCCATTGGGACCCGGCCATGCACGGGAAAAGAGGTCTTCGGTGGGATGACTCAACATTTGAAACAGTCTCTCCTGAAATCCAACGAATCGTCAAGATTGAACGAATCGTCCAGATTGAACACTGGACCATATGAATGATCATTGACTACAAAAGGGGAAACTCACCTATAGCAACTAGCACCCTACCAAGTACAAGTGATTAACCTCAGCAGAAACCACCACATGCCTTGCGGATATTTCTGCGGGGCCCGCCACAAGCCCATCGCATGATAGACTGGACCTGAAACAGTGGCGCTCTTTGCCAACTTTGCCCTTTCCTGTTGGCCATCCCCGAGCTGCGCAAAGGCTTGTTGCAGGCACCCCCTTTTTGACCCTCACAGACTCAGGGAGAGATCAGCAAAGCAAGGATCTGGGATGCTTTGACCTTTTCAATCTGCTTTGCACTTGATCTCCAAGTATATAATTACAAAGTAGTTTTCGTTATATTTGGGTCTCATAACATCACATTTGGGTCTTATTGCTTTTGTTGTTGGTTGATGACATGGACAATATAATAGCCATATGGGCCGCGTGGGCGGCTTTCCAGCTGCAGCTGCTGAGCGCAATCCTTTTCCAAACCAAGTTTGTCCGGTCTTTGCTCCGCTGGATCTATTCTCTTAGGCTCCGAACACATCTTCAAAACAACCCAGCAAGAAATTCATAAACTATTTAGACATTGCTTGAGAGGATGATTAAGCATGTTGTTCTCAAACTTCTGAGTCAGTGAAAGACCATGTGAAGCCGTGTGAAACTCACTCTCGTCAGTGGCCATGCAATGGCAAGGCATCGCTGCATTCCTGATAGGCACAGGGGCAAGGGCCAAGGGCTAACTTAGCCTGCGCTAGGCAGAGACACACACTAAAAAGCTAGAACAACAACTTCCAACACATCTTGAACACATGGCAGTATGATGCGGGTATGATGTGGCAGCGTGTCATGTGAGACATATGCGGTTGAGCACGCAACTCTGACACACAGAAGATCACATCCAAGCAAAACAAACAAGCAACCAAGCAATCTGGCCACCCAGGTCCCGGCAACCCGGCACCCGGCAACCCAGCACATGGCAACCCGGCACCCGGCAACCCGGCACCCGGCAACCCGGCACCCGGCAACCCGGCACCCGGCAACCCGGCACCCGGCAACCCGGCACCCGGCAACCCGGCGCCCGGCAACCCGGCGCCCGGCAACCCGGCAACGCTTACATATTGCGCGCAGATATTGCGCACAGATACTGGAGATATTGCGCACAGATACTGGAGATATTGCGCACAGATACTGGAGATATTGCGCACAGATACTGGAGTGCATTATTGCAAGGTATTGCAGTGCGCATGCAAGCAGGAAATGACAGTGTTTGGAAAGCACAAGTTGCACTCAAAACGGATATTGCGCATAGCAAGTATTTGCGCGCAGCGAGGCAAACTAAGTCGCGCACATGTACGCGCACAGGTACCGCGCGTAGACTCACAGACCGTGCGCAACACAAGCATCCTGCAACACAGGACTTGGGGCACACTCTGCCCGAAATAATCCATTAGCCTAAAAAGGGAGTGAAGCAAAATCAGCACCTACCTGCACTTGAAAAGACAATGAGTTGTACATTATCATGAGGTTGATTCAAAACTAACTCAGGTTCATGATCTATTGAAAGGTTGCTTTTTCAATCGAACCTGTTTGGAATACATTCAGACCATACCGTGCAATGCATTCACTCACCCGCCTCGGTTTTGAAATCAACTAGTTGCGCATGACCTCGACAGTTAATGAGTCGGTTTGATTGATTGCAAGGTGTCATGTGCTGATGTGAGAGCAAGGCAATTGCACGGTGCATGGCGCAATTCGGCTTGGCGGTCGGCTTTTTACCCACAGACAACCCCAGCTGTGGGACATGACCAAAAGCTAACCCTGGCGACCCTTGACTTTCAAGGATGCCAAATCCATTTTCAGCCTCCGATTTTCGTTCTCCAGCTTGATGATCTTCTGATCTTAGTGGATTGCCAAGCTATTATTTGGTTTCGGAAACGGCATTAAGATTGAACCCAAGCAGGCTGCTATTGATGGCACCATTTCGAAGCTTGAGCAGTGCCATTGATGATAAACCACTCTGAAGCTACTAGCCGAGCGACTCAATGCATAGGTCTCATGGGTAAGGTTTTCCAACTCCTTATACCCTGTCTCATAGTACCGTCGTTGCGACGCAGTCAATGCAATCTGTACGTTTGTTTTATCCTTCCCCACCTGCATCGACTGAAAGAGGCACATAGCACAAAGGCCCTTTTCGCTAGGCAAAGGCACTGATTTCAATTGTTCGGCTGACAGGCTCAATCGAGGCTCACTAGTTTCTGAGTGAAGGGTGCCTGCAAAGCCATAAGGATCCCATGTAGCCAGCTCATCACCAGCGAGGGGCAAAACATGATCATCATCCTCAACGGCTGTAGAGGGTTTCTTTGACTTTGGTGCAAGACGACGACGCTCCATTCCTTGGTCAAACACTCCTGCTTGAAACCGATATAATTCTTTGTGAGCAGGAGTGAGAGATGTAGTCACTCATAGGAAGTTGAAACCCAAACTAGATAATTTCAACCAAGTTTCTTTTCTTCTCATAGAGACGCTGCAAGCTCTGCCGTCGTTGGGGTCCATCCCTTGCCACATTGTGATCCAAGTACTTACGCCGCATGCCATCTTTCACCCCCATTGTGATGGGAGACATGACTACTTGGTGGCGAAGGGTTCTTAAGACCATGCCATGCGCTGCCCTGTACTAGGAACATGCGATATGTTTGACATGGTGGAAGAATATGGAAGACTATCATTCAAACGATCTTGGTAGGCCAAAAAAGGATCTTGGAAGGCGACTACCAGCAAACCAGCCCAAGACGCACAGTTCTCTTTAAGAAAAAATTGGAAACCGACTGCCCACAAATGGTAGCAACCGTGAAATACAGGAGCTCACTCACGATCTGATTGCAGTAAGAGGCGAGCACTTTTCTTGGCCCCCCCCAGCTCAACGCCAAAATGGCTTCACGCCCAAAGCTAAGCTGCCTAACTGAAACTGTGGGACAGTGGGGCAAGTTCTTGCGAGTGACGGAACACGCATGCATGGCAGACTTCATGATATATTGTACTTGCATGAACGGTTGAGCAATGTTAAATTGGTGTGTGTCACTAGTGCTTAGACCTGAACCTGTTTTCACACATCACCCACTGTTTGTCCACAGTATGAGGGTCTGACAGGGATTGGTGTCAGCTCCCCTGCTCACAAAATCTTGGTGCTTTGTTCGCACCCGTAGCTCATGGGTTTGGTGCCCCGTAACTCATGGCTTGCTCACCCAAAGGAGCTCCAACCCTTGAATCTACCCAACACAAGGTTGCACAGTACATGGCAGAATGTAGTTGGATGTCGTAGTTTCAAAAACCAGGGTTGGAGCTGTTCGCACCCTAGACCAGTCGAATCACTTCGTCCTCCTTCATCGTCAAGACCTGCTTTACGTAGTACAGTGGTTTTCCTGGGTATCTTTCAAGGAAGACAGAACATGCTTTTTCAAATTAAACTGTCCATTGAACATGTTGCTAGAAGGATGAAACATGATGAAACTCATCTCCACTGATTTCGCAAAGTTTCTGGGCGTGAACTCCTTAGAGACAACATGAAGCCAGCTTGTGTGCGTACCCGCTCACTGCATTTTGAGATTCAGCATGTCTGGAAAGCTGATAATTGGACAAGTTTCCTTTGATTCTTTGGTCAAGCCGATGCGCCAAATGTATTCAAGCATACGCGAGCTTTGCAACTCCTGGGTATTGCTGGCGAAGCCAGGTTGGAACTGATCTCGGTGCACTGTGTTGCAACTGGGACGCAGCGGCATTGAATAGTGAAGCCACTCCCGAATACTTCACGCCGTTGGTGGTTGCAGGCGTTGTCCAAGTGAAGTAGACCTGATCCAATGCAGTATTGAACTGACCAGGAACAGTGTTGAACATACTTCATCGATCAGTCAAACACACCGTACAATAAAGTACACTTGCCTGTGCAGGTTTTGGGGCGATCGTCCAACCTTCTTCACCTCACGTGCAAGTACATACAAATCATGTTGTTGACCCCAAGTTTGCAATGAGGGGTAGCCATGAGAAGGATTGATACTGGGGGCCCTACTTTTCTCAGACACATCACCCATCTTCTGAAGTTCGTGACAGTTGATGCTCAGGTCGTCTGTATGACCTTCTTCCTCAAACTCTCTCAGTAGCTTCCTCCAGCTACTCTTCTCGGTATCCACCATCGATTTGGCCTCCTTTCCAGAAACATCATAAAACTAAAGGGTGCACTCTGTTGACTTATCGGTGCAGTGGGCAAGAATTTCTGGTTCCAAGTTGTTGGAAAAATCAGGGTTTGGTGCAGGACTGAAGGTCTGGCCTGGACCTCCATCACAACCTCAGTTAGGTCGCTCGTCCATGTGCAAGGAAGATACCGATCCAGGTCTCCTGGCTGGACCCAGCCATGATTGAAGGCATGAATGAACATGACAGGCAGTCGGGCGGTGACGTGTGGCACTGATCACATGTCACAGTTCAGTCGCATCTCAAATCATCTCAATTGTTTTCACCTGCTCCCCGGCTCCCCTCAAAGCATCCCGTCACCTAA